GGGCCAGGCCTGCCCTGAGCCTGAGGACACAGGTGCCCAGAACGCCTGGACTGCAGCTGTGACAGTGGGCCTGCTTGTCACGCCGCTGGGCCCACAGCAAAGCCCAGGAAGCAGAAAGACCACAAACACCCAGAGCCTGGAGTCTAACAAAAAAGAAAAAAATACGCCAACACAGACACACCCTGCCAGACAGGATCCTCCGCTCCGCTCCCACTAGGAGAGAGCTAAGAATTACCCAGCAGTTCCAGCCCACCACCCCCCCCTCCGCCGACTGCGGCAGACCAGCACACACCTCAAAGGCCACACTGGCTAGCCACAGGAAAGCCGCACACCTCCTCCCCTCCTGGGCCCCGTCACCAGAGCAACCTTCACCCTGACCCAAACCGAGGGAGCTCCAGGGTTGCAGCCCTGGTAGCCATCCATTCCCCAGCTACCACCTAGACCCCCACCCAGCTCCCAGACCACAGACTGCGGCAGACCAGCACACACCTCAAAGGCCACACTGGCTAGCCACAGGAAAGCCGCACACCTCCCCCCCTCCTGGGCCCCGTCACCAGAGCAACCTTCACCCTGACCCAAACCGAGGGAGCTTCAGGGCTGCAGCCCTGGTAGCCATCCATTCCCCAGCTACCACCTAGACCCCCACCCAGCTCCCAGACCACAGACAGGGCCAGGGGCACCTGCCACTTCTATACTGTCCCAGCCAAGGGCAGAAATTCCACTAAAGGAAGACACATACACACCCAGGCATATAAGCTGAGGCACTGCAGCCCCCTCCCAGCAGAGGCAACAGCCTTGCCCCCACGGCCCCCCTCCTTCCCTCGGCTCCGACACGCCACTGGAGGGGCGCCCAGAGCCAAGCGGGCTGGAGCTTCTATTCACAGATTCAGGGAAAAAAAGTTTGATGCAAAAGCTGAATTAATGAGGCCTCCCAAGAATAGCTGAGCCAGACCCGCATTCTGTGCGTGCAATTTAACAAGCCTGGGGTGGAGGAGCGACGCTGTGGGCGCCACCAGGACTAGGGGTGAGTGAGAAGTCCCGCACACTAGGGTGGGGGTGGGGGGGCACGCTGGCCTGGGCTTCCGAATGGCGACCGGATCCCACGGGGCCCAGGGCCAGTGAGTCCAAAACAAATCAAGGACGCGTTTGTGTGACGCCGGACAGTGAGGCTGGCCAAGTGCCCCAGGCTACCGTTGGGGCCGCCGACTAGGCCCCAAGCCAGGGAGCTCGGCCCTGGGCCCACAGGGGCTCAGGGTGTGCACTGGCAGGCCAAGGGACCAGGACGCAGGCCTGGAGTCACTGAGTCTCGGCTGCCTGCCACCTCTCTGGCCACCTGGCTTTGAGTCCGGCTCCCAAGGTTCTACACAAGGGACACTGGTGACCAACGGTACTCCCAATGACGGCACCGACTGAGGAGGCCACAGGGCCCCCACCCCGCAGTGTCGCCCCATCGGAACTCTACACACCCACCGCCCCTCACCCCTTCTCAGAGATATCCAGGCCTCCTTTGGCTGGGGACAGCCTCCCTCCAGGGTCTGCTGTTCTCCATCCAGGGTCGGCGCCAAGGGCCTCCTGCCCATCCACCCCTGCTGCCTCGTGGCCCCACAGCAGGCAGAGGCCTTGCTCCGGGCCTGCCTGCTCCTGTTGAGGGGAGGCTGACACTCCCCTTCGACTAATTAAAACCAAACCAAGCTTGCGCCTCGGGGCGGGGTGGGCAAGCCCCAAGCCCCAGCCCTGCGCGAGCCCGCCGCCCCGCCGACAGCAGACAAAGGCCCCGCACTCACCCGGGGCACTCGCCTCTTGTACTTGTTGCCGTAGTCGAACTTCTCCTTGACGTCGTCCAGGCAGCGGCCCAGACGTGCCTGCTCCTCCTTGCCCGTGTAGTCCTGGCTCAGCAGGATGTAGGCCCGCCAGTTGGCCGAGTCGAAGCCCCAGTGGCAAGTCCGGTTCTCCAGCGCCTTGTGCGAGTGCACCACGAACTTGTGTGGAGGGTACATGAGGCGGCAGTCGAGGCACTGGATGCAGGCGGCACTGGGGCTGCTGTAGAGCTCAGGCACCAGCAGCCCCTTGCACTTGCCGAAACACTCGTGGTACACCCTGAAGCTGCGCTCGCTGAGCTCCAGGCCCAGCGCCAAGGAGCCGCTGCCCGGCAGCTCCTTCTTGCAGGGCGGCGGGAAGGCGCCGCCGTAGAGCAGCGCGTTGCACAGGCGCTCGGCATCCGTCTTGGTGATGAGCCCGCACGAGGGCGCCGAGAAGGGCAGGATGCCCATGACTTTGAGGATCTCCAGCTGGTCGGCCGTGCAGCGCGAGCAGTAGATGTGCAGCTCGTCGCACACCGAGTTGATCTGCTGCAGCGAGAAGTCCCGCAGCACCGAGTTGAGGATCTGCGGCAGGCACAGGCGCTTCTCGCCGCCCACGACGAAGCACGAGATGGTCTCGCCCTCCAGCACGGTCTCGCAGCGCTCGGTGGATCGGTCCGACGGCATAAAGAAAGGCCCGGGCAGCACGGGCGGCGGC